CCCCCAAGTCGGATTGGACATCAATAATTTTGCTGTCAAACTTGCGTTCTACAAGTGCTTGGAAATTTTTGAACACTTGAAAAACATCAGATCTTTTCTTGAGGAGATAAATCCAAGAAAATTTGCTATAGTCATCAATGAAGCTAACATAGTATGTGTGTCTACCAACAGAGGTGGGGGCAGGACCCCAAACATCAGAAAATATCAATTGCAAAGGTTGAGTAGAAACGCTAGTTGATATGGGATAAGGTAATTGATGACATTTTGCTCTTTGGCAAGAATCACAAATAGTTTCAATATTTCGCTCACCAACAAACGGGAGCTTATTTTTCCTAAGCAAACGTTCAACTAAGGAAAAGAGGCATGTCCTAAACGATCGTGCCATCGTGTGGACGAAAGCTTGATAGCACCACAAGCTTGTTTATTTGATCTTCTAAACTCCGGAATCAACGGGTAAAGCCCTCGAACACATCTACCTCGATAGAGAACTTTCCTCGGGGCCTGATCCTTGATCAAAAAGAAGAAAGGATGGAATTCAATGAACACATGATTATCAATAGTAGTTCGATGAACGGAGAGAAGATTTTTGTTGGCACTAGGAACATGCAATTTTTTTTAAGATGAATCTTGCGAGAAGGGGTACGTATAACCGAATGACCTATATGACTTATCCTCATACCTGCACCACTTGCCGTGTGGATTTGATCTTTTCCATGGTATTTCTCACGAAGGGTCACCTTCTCAAGCTCCCCCGTGAGATGGTTGGTGGCGCCACTGTCAAGATACCAGTTGGTATCGACACCATAGGATCCATCGGCGGCGGCAGCAACCTTGTCATCTTCATCAGAGGAGGCTTCGTCTTCATCGAAGCGATACCAGCAGTCCTTGGCTGTGTGGCTAGGCTTGCCACAGACCTGGCAACGCACGGCATCAGGTCGTGATCTGCCCGAGCCGCCGCCGTTGCCGCCCCGCCATGACGGCCCCTGTTGTTGGTGAAGTTGGGGCGTCCACCGCGGGAGCCGGAGTTGCTGGAGCGGCCACCACCTTGCTTGCCCTTGTGTCGAGGAGGACCGCGAGGACGAGGTGAGTACCCGCCGCGCCCGCGAGTGGCCGCGTTGGCCGAGGACTTGAAGCCGCCGCCGATGCTGTGAAACTGAGCAACGCGCTGATCAAAGTTGCTTAGCATGGCATACAACTCGTCAAGGGAGACCGGCGTGACGCGGGCGTCGAGGGCGGAGACGAGGGGCTGGTAGTCCATATCCAGCCCATGCAGCAGGTAGGAGATGAGCTCATCGTCCTGGATGGGCTTGCCGGCCGCCGCGAGTTCATCGGCAAGACCACGCATATGAGCGTAGTATGCAGCAACCGATTGGTTGCCCTTCTGTGCATTGATCAAGGCAGTGCGAATATTGTTGACACGACTCAAAAGATTGAGAGGAAAACATGCCTGCAAGCGCCACCCGGAGGGCGCGCGCGGTGGTGACCGTGGTCACCGCGATCAGCACTTCTTTGGAGAGATTGTTGAGGAGGTAGCCAAGCACTTGCTGATCCTCCCTCACCCAGATGGGATGGAGAGGGTTGAGCTCGGACGACTCCTTGCCGTCCTTGTCCTTGGTGACGAGGAGGCGGGTGGGTTCCGTACAGTTCCATCGACGTAGCCGAAGAGCCCAGCTCCCCTCAGCTGCGGCGTAACTTGTGTTCGCCACAGGACGTAGTTCCTCCGGGAGAGTTTCTCCGTGACCTGGCCACTGAGATTGGTTTGGGGGGCGCTGGAGGAAGACATGGCTTGGGACTATGGAGCAGCTAGGGTTTGGAAGAGGAGGCTCTGATTACCATGTGCGAATAGGCGAAAGCGTCTTACCCTCGATGTGAGGGGGCGCGTTACGTGTTATAGGCTGCAGGGGCGCACCTCCCTGACAATAGCGCATACAAGTTTGTTGGAGAAGATTACAACTTGGAGAGGAAGAGATAAAGAGATAAGAGGTTTTACAAGATATTGGATGACTTGTCTAACAACCTAGTCTATCTCCTGTACGTCTCCTGTGCGCCAACTCTGAAGACCAACGTAACATGTATATGTGTTTAACAGCCATGAGAGGCACGCAGAATTTGGTCAATCGATCGTGATTTGTTCTTAAGTATTTGCATATCCCCAAGACCCACATGGTTCACATTATTATTACTACCTCCCATTGAACACGGTTGATATCTGATTTCGAAGGGCGTCAACTGTAACTCTCGAGGGGCATGTAGTTACACATTCTTACAATAGTTTTTTGTGCTTCGCGTTGGTTTCTTCATGATAATGGATTTCAGGACTTTAAAGGTTTCTGTTGGTTTTGTTAAGGAAATATCTCTTACCAAACCAATGGTTGAACTCTGGAAACCTCCATCTTCATCAGAAGATTGTTGTTGTACATTTGCATTAGCAATATCAGTTCTGACCATGGAACCTGAGTGTCGCAATTCTTGCAGATTCAGAAGGCTATCTATTTGATGGAGACGGGTTTGATTATGTGAAATATACACTTATAAGGAATATTAAGGCACAACAAAGGAGCCTCAAGTGGGTATTTGCCTTTCATATTTTTTTCCGAAAAGCATTTGCCTTTCCTGTAATTTTAGTTTGTAAATGTTGAGCTTTTGAGATGCCACTTTCCATTTTACCAAACAGGGAATACTTGAAAACATTTCCACGTGCCAAATATATCAATGATGCTAAGCCATGGGGTGAGCAGTGTGATATTGCATTCCCTTGTGCATCACAAAATGAAATTGACCAGGGGGAGGCTCTTTCAATAATTAGCTCTGGTTGCCGTGTTCTTATAGAATGTATGATGTCTTGAATTGTGTCTTTTGATTGCCTTCTCAGTGTTTATCCTTTGCAGATTAATTGTGTTTGTTAATTGCAGGTTCAAACATGCCATGCACTGGTCAAGCAGTTGATATCCTAAGAAAGGCAAAAGTCCATGTTGCTCCAGCAAAGGCAACTGCTGCTGGTGGGGTAATTCACTGTTTTGTTTGTTCTTGCCAATCATTTTGTTTGTTCTTGCCATTCATAGAAGAATGAGGTGTGGTTCAGTACAGCCCACTTAGAAAAGTTTACAATTTTAAGGGAGATTAAAACTTAACTTTTATTTGTAAAGGATACTGTGGTCTATTTTTAAGTGTATGTGCTCCAACCGTTAAAACTTCATTTCAATCTACACCAGAATCTTGACTGATTCTCATGGGCTTTTCCAAAATTTTGGAGCTCAGCACTTTCCCAAGTATGGTTGATGTACTTTGCACTGAGCACGTATATTTGAAACACTACTATAATGAAAACCACTTAGACGGATTCCCGTCTCATACATATGCTCCCGACAGTAAATCATTAGACTCACACTATTCCCAAACATGTTCATGTTTTTTGTTTCTCTTGAATAACAAACAGGTAGCAGTCGGTGAACTTGAACTGAATCCAGAGTTCAGCTTAATGCAGTGGTCAGTAGAGGATTTCGAGAACAAAATACAGGTATAAGCCGCTGCTTCTGCCCGTTGGTGGCTACCCTTCCATTTTTCAATAAAGGGCGTATTTATTAACTCAAAATGTAGCATCAAGTGGATACAAAGCATGATGAGAAACACCCGGCCTCTGCATAACTAAGATCCACACAGCCAAATACTAACAAATTGACCCCAAAAAACGACATATCAGCAACGTAGAGTCATATAAGATCGACACTATGCCTATGTCGAAGGAGGTGGCTACCCTTCCATATGTGGTAATATGAAGCACTACTAAGTTTCTTCTTTTGGTTAAAACAGGAAGCAGTAAAGCAAACATATGACAGGTCGATGAAAGCTGCTCAAGAATATGGAATCCTGAAAGAGAACCCAGAGTTAGTTTCCTTGCGATATCTTGTCCATTTGCCTACACCGGGCTTTTCACTCTAGAAGCTGATCAAGTACTCTCTCTCCAGGTCTTTGGTGCATGGTGCAAACATATCGGCCTTCCTGAACATTGCACAAGCCATGACTGATCAAGGATGTGTGTAGTTAAGCGTTTTTGTTCTGTCAAGAAGCAGAATTTGACATCCCTGCGGGCTGCATCCATGATCTCTGGTTGTACTGTGGTTGCTGCAGCCATTCAACATTTATTCGTAGCCTTCCTCACAGATCACTATTTTACGTTTATTGGTAGCCTCACTCACAGATCAATTTTATGTTTAGGCCTTGTCAAAGCTTTCCTCTGGTATGAAGGAAAAGCTTAGATATATTTAGAGTATAGAAGTGTTTCCTGTTGTAGATCCCCCATGTATTTATTCATTACTGCCAACATCAATGCTTGAAGAAGGAAATGTTCCTTTTTTGTGTGAATTCTGCTACCGAGTGTTGAGGGTATTAGGTTTTGCTAAGACAATGCTTTTAGTAGTATATGCCTTATATGACAAGTCAAATGCATCAAGGATGGAGGATATCAGCTCCTGGTGAAGGACGAGGAGACATAAATGGCGGTAGTACTTCGGCAATTTGTTCAATGGAGAGAATGAGGGCGCTACCATTGAGTCGGATGACTATTTTGATGATATCATTGAGTTGGACGACTCTTTTAATGATATTAGCAGGCGTTATAGTGAGTGCGGATTTTTGGAGGCCGAGCTCTAGTGAGCTCGGTATTTTGAAAAAGTCAAAAAGCGTATTTAAAAGTTTCAAAAAAATCTGAAAAAAATACCATGGAAACTTATATGTATTCCGCAAGAATGTGTTAAATTTCTTCGAAAAATGTTGTGATTTGTAGACTGTACAAAAATAACAAATTTCTGGCCCAATAACAAAAATAAAAGGCCCATTAAAAATATGTATTTGTCTTTTTCCTGTACGCCACATGTAAACATATAACACCGTGAAATTTTGCATATACATAGTATACATGCGCATGTGTGTTCAGAAAATAAATTTGGAATTTTTCACGCTCCAAAAAAAATTGTAAACGAGCTCACTGGAGCTCGGCCTTCGTTGGCATTTTCCGGCGTTATAATGGCTTATAAAGGTTGAAAGAAGGCAAGCTGATGGGCCTCATTGTATCCTCATTGTGGTGTGCAGAGGCCTTGAAGACATAGCCATAGTATGGCTAACTAAACTTTTCAAACTCATTTTTCTGGCAAACGAGATACTAGAAGAATAAAAGCTGATTATATTAGTATTAATCTTCAAGAACAAAGAAGATGTTCAAACTTGTACTTGTTACCATGAAATTAAGCCGATGAGCCATCCAATGAAGCTATATTGTTAATTAAGCTGATAAGCCATTCAATGAAGCCATGGAAGAGAGTCATTAAGCACCATTTAAGAAGAATGACAAGTGTGACAAAAAATTAGTTTGGTTTCATGCCTAAGTGTTCGACCATGGAAGCCATTTTTTTGGTGCGACAACTTACGAAGAGATACATGAAGCAAAAGAAGGACATGCATATGGTGTTCATTGACTTGAAGAAGTCCTACGATAAGATACCACATAATGTCAGGTGGTGGACCTTGGAAAAAAACAAAGTCCCAATAAAGTATATTACTCTCATCAAGGACAAGTACGAGAATATTGTGTCAAGTGTGTAAATAAGTGCTGGCAACACTGATGACTTTCTAATTAAAATAAGACCGCACCAAGGGTTAACTTTTAGCCCTTGCCTTTTTTGCTTTGATGATGAATATGGTCACACGAGATATACAAGGAAATATCCCATGGTGTATGTATGCTCTTTGTGGATGATGTGGTGCTAATCGATGATAGTCGGACTAGGGTTGATAGAAAGTTATAGTTATGGTTTTAGGCTTAGTAGAATTAATACTGAGTACATGAGGTGCAGTTTCAGTACTGCTAGGCACGAGGAGAAGGAGGAGGTTAGCCTTGATGGATGGGTGTTAGCTCAGAGGACAACTTTTGATATTTGGGTCAATGCTGAAGAAGGATGATGATATCGATAAAGATGTGAGACATCAAATCAAAGTCGGGTGGATGAAGTGGCGTCAAGATTCTGGCGCTCTCTGTGATAAGAGAGTGCCACAAAAACAAAAAAACAGATTGTATAGAACGGTGATCAATGTTGTATGGCTGAGTGTTGGTCGACTAAAAGGTAACATGTTCAACAATTGGGTGTAGCGGAGGTGCACATGTTGAGATGGATGTGCGGCCACACAATAAAGGATCAAGATCAGAATGTTGATATACGAGATAGAATTGGAGTAGCATCAATTGAAGAGAAATTTATCCAACATCATATGAGATGGTTTGGGCATATACGCTGCTAATCTTCAGAAACTCCAATGCATAGTGGACGATTAAAACATGCTGAAAATTTCAAAAGAGATTGGGTAAGGCCAGATCTGATATGAGAGGAGTTTATTAAGGAAAATCCGAAGGACTGAAATATCACCAAATAACTAGTCGTGATGAGGACATAACTACCTTGGATACGACCAAAAATATTGCATACATGCATATTTGTCAGGTGATTTCTAGTGCAAACTATTCAATAATCTATTTATATTATCCAGAACAAAAATACTTCACACACTTTTGTGTTTTGTCTAATTGCAGATGTATGGGACATTTGTACAATCCACATATGAAGATAAGGGAAAAGGAGAATTTTAGGTTCTGTTCAAAAAGTCCTCTCACGTCACTTTTGGGCCAAGAGAAGATAGAGTCCAAGCCTCTCATGTTCTGGATTTAGATTTGGACTGCACAGACATACCTAACTCAAAACGTCAACAACTTTTTCATACGGACTCCGAATTGGGTGATTCTTTTTTCCATGGAAAGTAGATTTCGTGCTATTTCCAACCCATTTGAAATCACCTTCAAATTAGTCCGGAGCATTGAGATATTGACGAAACAATCTAACGCTGCAGCAGAATCTGAGTCAAACAACAAGTCTAAAGGTGTTGCACCACCTCCACTTGGGCCCATGAGCCTTGTACGACCTAGGGTTAGTTTTAGGATGCCTTGGGACGTCCTTCACCTCCTTGGCCGCCACCCCTTGCTCCTATATAAGTAGTGTAACACCCACGATGTGGCTATATCTCCCACGTGTCGGGGCACGACTTAGAGGCATAGTTGCATGGTAGGTTTGTCGCAAGAGGGGTAATCTTCACACAATCCATGTATTAAATAAAAAAGGGATAAAGAATTGGCTTACAATCGCCACTTCACACAAATACAAGTTATACATACATCATCCAGAATACAATCAAGGTCCGACTACGGAACCAAAGTAAAAGAAGACAACTCCAAATGCTAGATCCCCGATCGCCCCGACTGGGCTCCACTACTGATCAACTGGAAACGAAACAACACAACGAACACAGCCTTCATCGAGCTCCCATATGAGCTCAGTTGCGTCACCTGCATTGGTATCATCGGCACCTGGAACTGTTTGGAAGCATCTGTGAGCCACGAGGACTCAGCAATCTCACACCCGCGAGATCAAGACTATATAAGCTTATGGGTAGGAAAAGGATAGTGAGGTGGAGCGGCAACAAGCACTAAGCATATATGGTGGCTAACATACGCAAGTAAGAGCGAGTAGAGAAGCAATGCAACAGTCGTGAACTAGAAGTGATCAAGAAGAGATCCTGAAACTACTTATGCACAAACATAACTCCAAAACCGTGTTCATTTCCCGGACTCCGCTGGAAAGAGACCATCACGGCTACACACGCGGTTGATGCATTTTAATTAAATTAAGTGTCAAGTTCTCTACAATCGGACATTAACAAATTCCCATCTGCCCATAACCGCGGGCATGGCTTTCGAAAGTTCAAACCCTGCAGGGGTGTCCCAACTTAGCCCATCACAAGCTCCCACGGTCAACGAAGGATATTCCTTCTCCCAGGAAGACCCGATCAGACTCGGAATCCCAGGTACAAGACATTTCGACAATGGTAAAACAAGACCAGCAAAGCCACCCAAATGTGCCGACAAATCCCGATAGGAGCTGCACATATCTCGTTCTCAGGGCACACCGGATTGTCCAAGATTCCGGTAGGCCAACCCAGAGTTGCCCCTGGTGGCCACCGGCTACTGACAGGTTGAACCAACACTCAGAGGAGCACTGGCCCGGGGGTTTAAAATAAAGATGACCCTCGGGCTCCGGAAACCCGAGGGAAAAAGGCTTAGGTGGCAAATGGTAAAACCAAGGTTGGGCCTTGCTGGAGGAGTTTTATTCAAAGCGAACTGTCAAGGGGGTCCCATTCCCCCAACCGCGTAAGGAACGCAAAATCAAGGAACATAACACCGGTATGACGGAAACTAGGGCGGCAAGAGTGGAACAAAACACCAGGCATAAGGCCGAGCCTTCCACCCTTTACCAAGTATATAGATGCATTAAAGTAAACAAGATATATTGTGATATCCCAAACATATCCATGTTCCACCAAGGAACAAACTTCAACTTCACCTGCAACTAGCAACGCTATAAGAGGGGCTAAGCAAAAGTGGTAACATAGCCAAACAACGGTTTGCTAGGAGAAGGTGGGTTAGAGGCTTGACATGGCAATATGGGAGGCATGATATAGGAAGTGGTAGGTATTGCAGCATAGCAATAGAGCGAGCAACTAGCAAGCAAAGATAGAAGTGATTTCGAGGGTATGGTCATCTTGCCTGAGATCCCGCAAGGAAGAAGAACGAATCCATGAAGAAGACAAATGGACGTAGTCGAACGGATCCTCACAAACGCGACATTATCGGAACTAACCCGAAGAAGCAACACCGGAAAGAAGCAAACAATATAGTAAAACAACCATCACATAAACATGGCATGATGCACAACCAAGTATGATGCATGTCCGGTTTAATGAAGCATGGCATGGCAAAGTGCACAAGCAACACTACAAGTTAAGTGGAGCTCAATATGCAACGAGTTGCATATTGATGGAACACCACATTCAAGTTATTTAATTCGATCTTGTTTATGTACCCAACAATATTAAATGTTGATTAACATGGCAAGAGGTGAAGCAAATCAAAACTACATATCTAGGCAAGTTTAAATGATGCC